TTCCGATCTTCTCCAGCACTGTTCCGAGCTACGCAGGTATAGTTACCACTGTCAGATCTTTGGGCCTTTTGGATGAGGAGGGTGCCATCCCTATACACCTGGTATTTGTCAGAAAGGGCAGGAATGGGCCTGTTGGTTGGGGAGAGCCAGGTCACTTTGGGAGTGGGTTCTCCTTTGGTTTCACATGCTACTGTGACAACATCTCCATAGGGTACATTAATAATGAGGTGTGTCTTGTTCTTGATAGTTGCAGGCTCAGCCACTACTTTGACCCGCACTTTCATTTCATCCTTCCCAATCTGGTTCTCAGCATAGCAGGTGTAGTCTCCTTCCTCTCTCAGTCCAACATCATTGAAATACAGGGTTCCATTATTGAATACCACGTATCGCTTTATCCGGCTGCCACTGTCATCTGACTGCATGAAGGTATTGATCATGCTGCCATCTGGGAGACCCCAGGAGATCTCAGGATTTGGCAGACCTGTAGCTACGCAGTCAACTTTCAGGTCTCCTCCGTACTTGACCTTGTGGTTATTCTCATTCTTATGTTCTATTTTTGCTGGTTTCATCATCACATTCACTTTGAGGACCACATAGTCATCCCCAATCTTATTGCGGGCCACACACAGATAGTCTCCTGCATCTTTGTCTGTAACTGAATGGACAACCAAGGTCCCATTGCTGAATACTTTGATTCGAGTTTCCAAGCTGCTGTAAGGAAAGAAAAAAGAACAGAACATGAGCTGCAAAATCACATTTTAGGTATTAATTACTGAGTCAAACCGGGGAAAAAACAAACCTCAGCAATACTGAAAAAAAGGAGAGGAGCACTGCTATTGTTAGATAATTAGATGGTGTGAAATGTCCAAGATATTCCCCACCAAAAACCAAGCAACTCAGCTCCATTCAATGACTTTAAAGGTGGTTTTGACCATTAAACAAACATTAAATACCAAATTACATTATTTTTGACTCTTCTGACTGCATGTACAGTATTCTGTAACATTCAAATATTGGACCTCTGAATGATATACTTCACACAAAACTATATGAGACTAAGTAGTCTGGCACTTGGGTCCTCAACTGTAATCCAGATGAGCAACTTCCTCTGGCATCAGAGGAACCCTGAGAAGAATCACAAAGCAGCAAAATATTACTAAGCTTTGAAAGACAGGAAAAAATATTTTAAATAGGCTAAAAAGCTCCTATTCCTTTTTGCTTCACTATCGTGCTTCACAATGTGTGCATTGTGGTCGAAATTAATTTCCTCAGTAGTCCTAGTTTTCTCTCCAATGATCTCCTGTATGTGAAAAACAGCCCACATAAAGAACATTACAGAAAATTAAAATTAATGTCATCAGCAGCATGAGGCATAACATTCTGGATTTTGTGCTGTCTACAGACAAAGTACATTTTTTGTCAATTTGAAAAAAAAAAGATGACTATGTTCAGCTATTGCAAAAGTAGTTGACAATTGTGCATTTTAATTTCAGTACATTTCTCATCTGTCTACAGTGCTCAAAGAATAAGTAATGACCAATTTGTAATACAGCAGAAATTGTGTTTTCAGCAATGGCCTAGGACAGTTACTCTGGATTTGGAGAAGTGTTAGGCATTTACATACAACTGAGTTTCCACAGACCTTACTGCAAAGCAATGTTTATTTATAGAACAATGTTAAAATTATCATGCTTACTTTAATAATTATACAATTTCTTTGCCCCACTTCTACTGTGGATAATGATTTGTAGCAAAACCTGTGCAGCTCTAAGCAGACTAAGTGCATTGAAACAAGCAGTACAGAAGCTGTTTATCTTTTGCCATTCGCCTTGTTTTCTATATTTACAAGTGGCTGTAAAAGCCTCATTGCTGGAAGTGCTCAAGGCCAGGTTGGATAGGGCTTTGAGCAATCTGGTCTAGTGGAAGGTGTCCCTGCCCATGTACGCGGTTGGAAAAAGATGATCTTTAAGGTCCCTTCCAGCCCAAACCAGTATATGATGCTATGACTCGGCTATCTTTTTGACATAATTTCAGATTCTTCCTTAAGGATTGGGACTCTGATTCAAAGCTCACAGGAGTCAAGAATGAAACTTGTAGAGATGTCAATGGTCTTTTCTCTAAGGTCAACTAAACTGTAATTCAGCTGCGACACCTCAAATAGTAACTTACCTGTGTA